GACATCTTCTGTTCTAGAAGCTGCAGGTCCACATGGGAATTACATAGTGCTAAATCAAACTAAATTTGAGCTTTAGAGGCCTCTGTGGGAGTCCTGTGTAAAGAACTGCAACCTAGCTTAGCTCATGCACAAACTAAAAACCTAACTTAGGAGTATGTTCTCATAACAAAGATCTAAGTCTCAGCCAATCACAGAAACCAAGCTTCAGTCAATTCCTTGTGGCCAACTGTTCAAACTGGGTTCCAATAAGGCCAATGCCAAGCTGAAACCAGTCCAGCTCTCTCTATACCTCACTTCTATTTTCTGTACATTATTTCCTTTATCCTGTCTATAAATGTTATCCAACCACTCGGCAGCTCTAGAGTGTCACTAAACCTCTCCTGGTTGTAAGAGTTGCCTGATTCCTGAGTTGTCCCTTGCTCAGTTAAACTGTGTGAAATTTAATTTGTCTAAAGTTTTCCCTTCAACAAGGATCATCTGCCACGCTTCTAGACCAAGGGCTATGATTCAACTTTGTTGAGACTGGACAATCTTGAGTAGGTACACAAAAGTTGCTGTTGAGTGAATAAATAAGCAAATGAGTAAATAAAATGAAGAAGTTTTGTTTGGGGTGGCAGGTGTGGAAGGAATGATTTTTGCTCATTAAGCCAAAAATGCATGAGAAAACTCACTTTGGCCACTTAAAAATTCATTCTGAATTCATGATGAATGAACATACCACAGAGTGATTCAAATATATTAGATCCTAATTCTAATGTATTAAAATATTCTTAAAACGATCTATAATTTAACCCATCAGGAACTGCTGTGAGTTCCTAAACCTAAATCTTCTTCACTAGTGATCCAGCTAACTAGTGTCTTTGCAGCTGGAGATAGCCAGAGTGGGCCTAATAGACATTCAGAAGTCAGTTGAAGGAACTCTGAACCATTCCTGGTTCTAGCTCAAGAAAGTGCTAGCAACATTGTTTCGGACTTTAGGGATTTCAGTTTCATATGACTTGGATTGAAGGAACTGGGGAAAGATGCTAACATCAAATTGGTCAGTCCATCAGGGTTGGGATGAGACTAAGAGTGTCTCTAAGTCAGTACTGTTCAACAGAACTTTCTGCAATGAAGGGAATGTTCTATATCTGTGCTGTCCATTGCAAATGGCTATTGAGTACTTGAAATGTGGCTAGTGCAACTGAGGAACTGAATTTTTAAAATTTAACTTAATTTAATTTTTTAAAATTTATTTGTTTTGAGCTGGAGTCTCACTTGTGTCACCCAGGCAGGAGTGCAATGGTGCCATCTCAGCTCACTGCAACCTCTGCTTCCTGGGCTCAAGCAATTCTCCAGCCTCAGCCTCCTGAGTAGCTGGGATCACAGGCGCCCGCCACCTCGCCCAGCTAATTTTCATATTTTTAGTAGAGATGGGGTTTCACCACGTTGGCCAAGCTGATCTCAAACTTCTGACCTCAGGTGATCTGCCTGCCTCAGCCTCCCAAAGTGCTGGGATTACAGGCATGAGCCGCTGCGCATGGCCTATTTAATTTTAGATAATATAAGGAGCTGTATATGACTAATAAGTACTGTATTGGATGGCACAGCTCTAGAATTTTTTTTTTTTTTTTTTTTTTTTTGAGACAGAGTTTCGCTCTTGTTACCCAGGCTGGAGTGCAATGGCGTGATCTCGGCCCACCGCAACCTCCGCCTCCTGGGTTCAGGCAATTCTCCTGCCTCAGCCTCCTGAGTAGCTGGGATTACAGGCACACGCCACCATGCCCAGCTACCTTTTTGTATTTTTAGTAGAGACGGGGTTTCATCATGTTGACCAAGATGGTCTCGATCTCTTGACCTCGTGATCCACCCACCTCGGCCTCCCAAAGTGCTGGGATTACAGGTGTGAGCCACTGCACCTGGCCCAGCTCTAGAATTTTTTTATTCCTAGCTATCATTAACACTTCTGGAGAGCGAGTGCTTAAAATCATATCCAAAGGAGAATGAATGCTGAGGTCAGCGAGGAAAAATGCTGCTAACATGAGTGGTCATGCATAAGAGGTGATGGCAAGGAATTTGCTTAGCGCAGAGGGCTGGCGCAGGCCAGAGAGACAAGGCCAAACTGAGAAGCTGAGGGCAGTCCCCAGTGGACACATAGGACCACTGTGGATTTTTCATAGCTCCTGACTTATATTTGATTGCCTCAGGCTTTTTAAAAGATCTAGCCCTAAGTCCAGAGCAAAGTGAATTAGACTGGAATAGAAAGAGATAATAAGGCCACATGTCAGAATGCCCAGCAGATTGTATTACATTGCTAATTCATCTGCTGATATTTAAATACTAACACACACATTTAAATAAAATTCAGCTTTTTGCTAATATGCCATTTTTTGGTCTTTCCATGGGATCTTTTTCCCCGGGGTATGAAAGTTTTATTTGGCTATGGGAATTTAAAAAATACTAAAAAAGAAAACTTGGAATTAAATCAAAGACATTTCGGTTCAAAGTATTTGTAATTGTACCTAAATATTTGAGTTAACTTTCCCATCTTTAAAATAACAAAGTATATGCAACTCTATTTTTAAAAAATTCATCAGAAAGTCCACCTGACTGTGACTGGCATTTTCTGTTGCCCTGGAGACTGGCTCAAGACTCTGCTCCATTGTTTCAACTTAATGGGACAATACAATAGTCTAGTGTCTTTGGGATCCCGCTGTTTCCTGTGTCTTTAAATTTATCACTATAGATACTGGGTACAATTAACAAAGACTTTGGAAGGAGGAATCCTGAGAGCATTTGACATCACTGAATCATGCCTTTCTAGTTTTTCTCAATGTGAGGCTTTCTTTAGAATTGTAGAAAAGAAAAAAAAAAAAAAAAAAATCAGGGGAAAACGTAACCACATAGGGAGCTGGTCTTTGAAAATCCTTAAAGTGAAAGGCGTCCTCTATAAGAATTCTTATTTCTCAGCCAAGGCTCAGAGCGGCTACATTACTGGGGATCAGGACTTGGGGAAGAGAAAAAACATCGAGGCTGGGCGCGGTGGCTCACGCCTGTAATCCCAGCATTTTGTGGGACGGAGGCAGGCGGATCACGAGGTCAGCAGATCGAGACCATCCTGACCAACATGGTGAAATTTCGTTTCTACTAAAAATACAACACATCAGCCGGGCATGGTGGCACGCACCTGTAGTCCCAGCTGCTCGGGAGGCTGAGGCAGGAAAATCACTTGAACCCGGGAGGTGGAAGTTGCAGTGAGCCGAAATCAGGTCACTGCACTTCAGCCTGGGCAACAAAGCGAGACTCGGTCTCAAAAAAAAAAAAAAGCAAAAACAACAACAAAAAAATATTGATGCTACTTGGGCCTTATACTTGTCAGATCGGAAGTGGTTTTTATCCTTCCCAAAAGGCTGGTATTATGCGTATTGGCCACGTCCACGTGTAGCGAGAGAAGAAAGCCTAAGATTGATTATAAGCGATCATGTCATTGGAGATGGAATGGACGCAAGAGAGCCAATCCTGTGCATGCACAATGTGATTGGCAGAGAAGTCGGCCTATCCAGCAGCGGTGGAGAAAAACCATTCAGAGTAAGTATTCACCATTGAGGAGAACTCTGCTTTTGCTGGCCTAGTTTCTGGGTCTTACTATGTAGACCACTTGGGTAATGGATGAATTGAAAGCACATGAGAAAGAATGGATTGATTTGTATATACTGCAAAGGGCAGAGACTCACTCTGCTAATCCCCAGCCCTGCTCCCGATACTGTATATTGAATCAAAATCTCTGCAATTGAGACAAGGCTGTTTTGCATTGAAAGAACTCCCCAAATGATTATTACGTTACTTCCTAGGAAAGGGTCATTGCCCTACTGGATGCAACCGGAATAAGTCAGATTCAAATAGACCTTCAAAAGTATGTATAAGAGAAGGCAGGACAGCAGTGTGTATAGGGGTGGGAGGTAAGGGATTTGGCAGTCAGAGATCACAAAAAGTAGCAGCAGGGGCAGTGGCTCATGCCTGGAATCCCAACACTTTGGGAAGCCCAGGAGGGAGGAACACTTGAGGCCAGAATTTCAACAGCAGCTTGGGCAATGCATTAAAACCCCCATCTCTAAAAAATAAAAAAAGAAAGAAAAAATAATTAGCTGGGCACGGTGGTGAGCCCCTATAGTCCCAGCAACTTGGGAGGCTGAGGTGAGAGAATCATTTGAGCTGGGGAGGCCCAGTGGTGATCCTGCCACTGCACTCCAGCCTGGGCAACAGAGCAAAACTCTGTCGAAAAAAAAAAAGTAGCTATAGTGAGACAGGAGTTCAGTAGGACTAGTTTCCCCAGACACGGGTGACAATGCCCCACTGATAAAACAGCATGCGGTAAAGAAGCCAGCTAAACCCACCGAAACCAAGAGGGCAAGGAAAGCACCGCGAGTCATCCTCATTGCTCATTATACACTAATTATAATACATTAGCATACTAAAGGAACCTCCCACCAGCACCAGGGCAGTTTCAAATGCCATGGCAACTTCTGGAAGTCACCCTACATGATCCAAGAGGATCTCCCCAGATCCTCAGTTCCAGGACCTCCCCACCTTTTCCCCAGAAAACATGAATAATCCTCTCCCTGTTTAGCATCTAATCAAGAAGTAACCATAGGTAGAGTCAGTCAAGCAGCCCCCAATGCTACTCTGCCTATGGGGTAACCACCCTTTTATTCCTTTACTTTATTATTATTATTATTACTATTATTTGAGACAGAGTCTCACTCTGTTGCCCAGCCTGGAGTGCAGTGGCACGATCTTGGCTCACTGCAACCTCTGCCTCCCAGGTTCAAGAGATTCTCCTGCCTCAGCCTCCCAAGTAGCTGGGACTACAGATGTATACTATCATGCCATGATAATGTTTTGTATTTTTAGTTGAGATGGGGTTTCACCGTGTTAGCTAGGATGGTCTAGATCTCCTGACCTCGTGATCCATCTGCCTCGTCCTCCCAAAGTGCTGGAATTACAGGCGTGAGCCACTGCACCCGGCCTATTCCTTTACTTTTTAAGAAACTCACTTTCACTTTATGATGTTGGCTCACTCTTGAATTCTTTCCTATGTGAAGCCAAACACCCATATGGCCTCCCGGGCTGAGCCCTAATTTGGGATTTTGCCCTGTGACGGTGGAATAGAACATCACCACTCACAATGGGGTCACTTGGTGTCAGTGTTACCTGGGAGCTCATTAAAACATGCAGAACCCTGGGCCACATCTCAGACCTGTGGGGTCAGAATCCACATTTCAACAATGTCCCCAGGTGATTCATGACAATGTGCACATTCAAGTTTGAGAAGCAGCAGCCTGGTGGGAAAGGTGGTCTAGGACCTTTCCTCAAGTTCTGCCTTAGCCAGTTCTAGTTTCTAGCTGTGGCAGAGACACAGAAGAGGGAAGGCTGTGAGGTCAGGCTGCCCACTTCACACACTACTGGTGTCCCCACACATGCAAGCCTATGGTCAAGACGTGTGCACGCTCTCAGCTTCCTCGTCTGTACCCTGCAGACAATAATATGCCTGTAACACTGAGTTGCTATGAGAATAAAATAATAAATCCAAATAAAGCACTTATCTGGAAAGTAGCAAGTGCTCCATAAATGCTAGATGCTAGTGATTTTTTCTTTAGATGGTATGACGTTGGACAAGACCCTTAACCTCTGTGGACCTCAGGTTCTGCATCGAGAACATAAGAACAATGATAACTAGCGCCTGGCCTGTGGGAAGGGTTAACAGATGTGTGCTGTGAGGTCTGTAAAACCTCTACAGAGATGATGATGCTGTTAGCAGCAGCCTGTCAGAGGAAGAAGGACAGGTGTGAAGGTGACTCGTGCAGCCAGTCCTGGCAAGAAGGCAAATCTCCCCATGGTGGGAGGAAGCCCTGACCCATGCTTGGGCCACTGAGGTTTTTCCGAAGCTCAGTGAAAATCAGACCACCCACAAATACGTGGGGAGGTGAAAGGTCAGTGGGCTCATGTCACCCTGTCCTTTGTCTTATTCTCTCCACTTCTACCTAGGGACTGGACTAGACCGCCCAGGAAGGGACATTTGCTTAGTGGTTGCTGGGTGAACAACAACTTTACAGGATTCCACCAGTGCAAAGCAAGAGGCAGCAAGGGTTTTCTACCCCGCAGCTTGCCTCAGAGCCCCCCAAGGCTTCTCTTTTGCTCTTTTGTCTCACTCCTCTCTTCTTCTGACATATCCAGTCCCTTTGTAATCTTGATTTTCCTCTGAGGGTGCCACCAAGTATATCTGGGATACGTTTCATTATTTGCGGGACCATAAGACACTCACTCCCTGTGGCTTGTCTAGTGCCTGAGGGGCAGAAAAACTGACCCTAGATTTACTGCTGCTGTTGCTGCGGGGGAGACTTGGAAGGTTTCTGCAGCAGACATCACCTTTTTGTCTATCACAGTCGTGCTGGACAGAAGCACTGTGAGTCAGCCCTGAGTGCCCTGGCAGGGCCGACTCGTAATGCAGCCACTACTGGAGGCCCCAAGAGGCCCCTCCGAAAATCTGCCAAAGAATACGCCTCCGTCTGGAAGGAAAGTGACGCATGTGGATTCTCCCCCGACTGACTGATTTCTTCCTGGTGCTCTGCCACCACTGGCCTTTGAGATCTGAGTCCACAGCACCCCTTGTTTTGTCTTCCCGCTCCCCAAAACACCCTCCAAAACAGGATGCGTGTCCCACATCCTCTAAAACGATGGTTGCAAAATTTAAGACTCAGGTCAACACTTGAGAAGTGTAAGCTCTGCCAAGCAAGGCTTTGCTTTTCCCTTTAACAATTTGTTGCCACATCTAGAACCATCCATAGAGATGCCTACCTCATAGAGATACATGTAAAATTTGAGTTTTAGCCAGAGCAGAGATGCCAGCCCTGACCCCGATCCCTGGTCAGGGTCATCTGTCTGCTGAAGGAGACCCTAAACCGTTGCCCTGCCCTGTTCTATTATTTTTCGAGTTTGGTGAAGGACTCTGCCTCAGGAACAATATTACTTACTGTTCGGGATAATGCACATTTGTGGTGCTCCAAGATATTAAATAATAATGCCTTGATGCTCTGTGGGAAGACAGAATTCTGAAACTGACTCAACTATTTACTCTTTCATGTGGAGAGGACTAGATTGCTTGGCGTATAGAAGTAGCACCCCTCTGGTCTCAACGACCAGGTGCCAGTAACTTCCTCCCTGTGGGGCAGCTGCAGATCTTCTACCTTTTTAGAAAGCAAGGACTGCACAGCATGTTGGAAGAGTTGGTTCTGTAGCAGACCATCCATCTGCATGTGTAGGTTGGTCTCTCTAGCATCTTCTAAGGCGATTTCATGTTAGGAGGTGAGTTATCAGAAGGCAGCAGGGCCCTTCTGACTTCGTGCTCAACTTGGTGACGTGGAGCAGCTGACTGGTCCCCATTTTCCAGGGTGGGACTGGCTTTGGGATCCTTCCTGTGTTGCTGGTGACCCTGGCCCTGGTCAGTATGGTGGGCAGCCCTGCCGTTCTGATCAGCGGGGAGGGGAGGCTCAGTTTCCAGCCCCGTGGAGCAGCTCAGGCTGCTCTGAGACAGTTTTGTCCCTCAAAACAAAAGTGTCCCTTGATTTAAAAGAAAATGCTGGTCCCAACTCCTTAGTTTACTCTTCGTGGGTAACAAACCTCCCATTCACTGTCCAGAGGGTCTCGTTCTCTGGGACCTCAGAGAAGGCCTCATTGTTAGAAGACTACGTTATGGCAATGTGGGACAGTGAGGCCCCACGCTGCAAGCGCCCATAGCACTTGGATAGTCGTAAACAAGCTCCTCTCTCTCCCCCAATAGAGACTTGCTCAGATTTGAGATTCAGAGGCTTTATTTTCCTTTTGTGATGTAGACTCTTGACTGTAGACTGTAATGTTTTCTCAGACCAGGTGAAAAATAGCTGCAATAAAAACAAGGCTTGGCTTCCTTTGTTTATGGTATTTCCTTAACACGGGGACACAAGCAATTAAGTCTTCAAAACCCTAAGACAGAGTTGCATAAAGAATAGGGAGTCAAGTGAGGTACAGTATAGCTCACACCTACAATCTCAGCACTTTGGGAAACCGAGGTGGGAGGATCACTTGAGCCCAGGAGTTTGAGACTAGCCTGGGCAACATAGTGAGACCCTGTCTCTACAAAAAAATAAAAATAAAAAATAGCTGGGTATGGTAGCACACACCTATACTCCCAGCTATTCAGGAGGCTGACGCAAGAGGATTGCTTGAACCTGGGAGGTTGAGGCTTCAGTGAGCTATGATTATGCCATTGCAATCCAGCCTGGGCAACAGGGTAAGATCCTGTCTCAAAATAATAATAATAATAATAATAATAATAATAATAATAATAAACCAGAATAGGGAATCATTTGAAGACAGGTGACAGGTTCCTCAAGACAGCAAATAATGTGTTACTTGGATAAGAATGAAATTTCCATTGGTTTATTTTTGCTGGGGGTGCAGGGAAGGAAGGCTCTGGGCTAAACTGTCCTCAGATCATGATAGCAGACAACAAGAACTGACATGCAAAGAAACCAATTTTCAAGAGAAATGAGAACACAAACTGTGAACTGCACCCTCTCAGTCCCTGTCCTTTCAAGTTCCATTTCTCTGTGGGTGACTCATCTGTGCCTCTGGATGCTTCTCTCCAGAGCTCCAGCTCTGCCATCCCAATGTGTGCTGGGTTTGTCCAGCTGTGTATCCTGCTCCCCAAATTGAACGTGGCCCGGACTGGGCTCAGCCCTCCACTTCAGAATGGCACCTCCTCCTGACTTCCCTATTCCTGCGAATGGAATCATTGCTAAATGTTTCCAGTTTGGTCACTTTAGTGATTCCAGAATTCTCTCTTTCCCTGTGTTTCCGCCACGCAAGATGAGACCTTATTACTGTTTCCCTTGACAATTCCAATAGGCTTCTAACGTGTCTTTTCACATCCAGGCTTTTTCTACTGTAATTCTTTGTTTTTATTATTATTATTCTTTTGAGACAGAGTCTCACTTTGTCACCTACGTTGGAGTGCAGTTATGTGATCACAACTCACTGCAGCCTTGACTTCCCCATGCGCAATTGATCCTCCCACCTCAGCCTCTGGAGTAGCTGGCACTAAAGGCACACACCACCACACCAGGTTAATTTTTGTGTTTTTTTGCAGAGACAGAATTTTGTCATGTTGCCCAAGCCGGTCTTGAATTCTGGGGCTCAAGTGATCCTCCTAACTTGGACTCCCAAAGTGCTGGGATTACAGGCATAAACCACTGTACCTGGCCTACTCCAATCCTTTCTATACAAATCATTGAAAATTACTTTTCCTAAAGCACAGCTACAGTGGCATCATTCTTGTTGTAAGATTTATTGCTGAGGTAAAATGAAGAAACTGAGGCAAGTATAAGAAAATGAGAAGTTAATTTATTCAGTTCCCGGGCGAGGTTTTGTGGTTTAGGAAGGGCCTAAAGAAGTTGCGCTCGGCTGTTCAGGTAATGGGGTTTCATGGGGAGAGGAGGCGATTGATTGGCTATTGGGGAAACAAAGCGAAGGCTATCTTATTGGCTGTCAGGAAGCAGGAAATGTTTAGAACTAGTTGCTATTGGTAGGCGGCTGGGACTTTGGGTAAGAGGGACTTGACTGGCTGTTGCAGAGACAAAGTGAAGGCAATTTTATTGGCTATTAAGCAGGAAATACCTGGAGCTAGTGGCTATGGGTAGGTGGGCAGGACCTTGGGTAAGTGGGTCTTGATTGACTGTTGGGGAAACGAAGTGAAGGCAATCTTACTGGCTATTAAGAAGCAGGAAATATTTGGAGCTAGTGGTTATGGGTAGGTGGGTGGGGCCTTGGGTAAGTGGGCCTTTTGGGGGCATACAGAGTAGACTGCTACCAGGCAGGGTCTGGTGGGGCTTTTAAAAAAAATTTTCCTGCAGGGTTTATCAACAGCAGGCCAGGGGGTTGAATGCATAATTTAGTGCTGAATGTGGGCTTGGGTCTGGTGTGCGGAGGCGGGTGTGGGGAAGCCTTGAGGCAAGGCCAGATAACGGGCTTGGGTGATGACGCAGTTATCAGACCCCGAGAGAGATGGATGTGTCCATTTAACCCTCTGCGAGGCAGCCGGCCTTACACTTATAGTGGACATTTTTCATTTCTGCAGATCTGCAGATGATCTCTGAACATCCTTCAATATTCTTGGTCATGCCTGCCTAAAGTGTAAGCCTTTATTCCCAGACTCCCTTGCAGCTAAGGCTCAGATACATCATTTCAGGTCTATGAATCACAGTTACCTTGGGCTCCTGCAAGAGATGTGGGACCAACAGTGAGTAATATGAAGGGGGTGCTGTGTATAGGAACCCATTCTGCTGTCAACTGCAGTGTGGGGGGTTTCTGGAGCCTCAGGAGTGTTAGTGAGATGTGCTTTCACTATAGCAGCTCTTTTTATCTAGCTTCAGATCCTGACTGTTTAGCTCACCTGAAGATTCCATAAGCTACGTAATATTGTTTGATAACTTCTCTTTCGGCTTGGACTAGGCAGAGTAGATTCTGTGCTTGGCAGCTAATAAACAAAAAATTAAAAAAATTAACACTGAATGGCTCCTCAGTGCCTAGTGAAATAAATACATGTTTCTCCAGCCCGGTACCCAAATTTTTCCCTAAGAAGGCCTCAAACCCACAGGCCTCGCAAGGCTATCATATTTGTTTCCGTTTCTTACTGGTGCTGTCTTTCTATGTGCCTTTCCTTTGACTTCATTATTCCCCTTCCCTCAACCCCCCATTCTTAGTATTTTTTGCATTAGTTTCTACTTCTGTTTAACAACTTATTTTCTAAAACAACCACCAGGAGCAAGCTTTTCATGATGAGGACATTCCAAACTCCAGTCTGCAGCTCTTTCCTCTTTGATTTTTAAAAGTCAAGATCAGCAGCTTCTAAAGGTCAAAAACATGCTAATATATGTCCTATATAAATATGAAACCCATCAAATCTTGCTTGGGAGAAAACTCTGAAATATTAAAGGGGAACTTTATTATCATCAAAAAGCATTTCTGATGATGGATTTTGCACACCTTTCATTTTCTTCTCATAGTCTCATATCTGTGACTTTGTCTATAACATCAAACATCTAAATGAAAAGGGAAAACTTAAATCAAAGAAGTTTTTCATGTTATGCTGATAAAACATCTGGAAGACAATTTCTTCTTTTCTCCCACGTGGTTGAATCAGTAGAGGCACAGTCTGTATCATTTGCCAGGATGATAAGAACTTCCTTGTTTCAGTTCACCCCCTTCACTTTCACATGAATTTTTAAAAATCTTTAATTTTTGAGAAGCTCATTTTCCATCCTTGAAAGACAAAGGCTTCACGGAACCTTTCAGAACACCAGTGAAAAGGGATGCAATATTAATTGCAGCTTGCCTCTTCCCAGCGTTGCTTTATTAATATTGGGAATCATGAGGCAGAGGTTTCCCTTCATTCAGAAGAAAAGGGAGTTTGGATCACAACAGGATGCTCCGGATTTGCTAAGCCCGGGGAGTATGGAAGCAATTGCTCCAAATCAATGCTGACCCTCTGGTGAATGTGGGTTATGCAAGGCCTAGATAGGCACCATTGTGCATGGTTTGCCTAAAGAGCCAAATGCTGCCTGTGGCCTCGGCCCTGGGTGATGGCACGCTGCTCACGCCGGCTCTGAACTGCACGATTCTCATTAGCAGCCACGGGAGGCCCTAGCAGCTGCCATGGTTTCCCAGGTGACTGTAGCAGTACTGCCCCACTCTGTTGATTTTCAACACTCTATATGAGCTCTATTCACAGTTTAATAGCTTCCTTTCTCTTGGCAAGGAAAACATTTTCCTAAGGTCTGCAGTTATCACTGATGCCAAATTCGTTTAAACTCATTATCCGTCGTCTTCACCCATTCTCACTCCCCAGGTCTGCCACAAATATCACT